CCCCAGTAACCGGGTTCAGGACAAGAGGAAAAGAAGCAAAAACTACTCCGTAGTCAGCGTCTGTCTGGAGATATGGAGGAGGGAGGGAAGCAAATCAAATCAGGCGGAGGGGAGGGACTGGACTGGCCACTTGGGTGCTTTTGATATCCCTGGATACGAGCCCAGGGCAGAGGTCGCCTTGCCCCTGGCCTTGACTACCTTCTGAAACAGCCTCCCTCGTCTCCCTTCTCTCTCGATGCCCGTCTGCAGCTGCTCTATCGTCTTGCTCTGCCTCTGCCTCTGCCTCTGCCTCCCAGCTCTCTTCCTGCCCAACCGCGGACCCTGCAAGGAAACTCCCCATTGGCCGTTCCTAGTGTGTCTCCAGCTGGTCACCGACCCGAGGTTTGGCCCCTTTGCTTCGTCTTCTTCTTCTCCGTCTTCTGCTGTCGGTGGTTCGTCCTGCATCTTCACAGGCTCAGCCCAAAAAGGCGGGCGGTTCCGGCCAAAGTAACGACATCGTCACTTTTTCTCTTCTCTTCCACATCCACACTCCACGTACCGCAACCACGCAACGCCGGCCAGCCAAAAAGCAAAGAAGCCCCTGAACAACGGCCAACGAGAGCAAAGAAACGGCGCGAGCCAGCAAACAGAGTCGATCCTTAGTGAGCAGGCAAAAAAGTAAGTAAGGATCTTACCCACCCACCCGTATCCGGAACCGTCCTCCTCGACCGCCCTCGTTCGAATATATATACTGAGCCTGCCTGGCCGCCGTCCCCGCGAGCAGCGCCCACCATGTCTCCCGCCCAAGACGAAGCCGACGCCCTGCTCGACCCCAAGGACAAACAGTTCTCAGCCCATCCTGAAGACCTCGCCCACTTCTCCGGCGACGAGTACAAAGACGACGACGACGACGACCGCAGCGAAGAGGAGGAGGACGAGCGCAACGAGAAGCGCACCAACCGCATCCGCGCCGCCCACGCCGCAGCTGGAGACGACTCTGACGAGAGCGAGATCGACTTCTCCGGCACCATGGTCTCCAAGCCGGCCGCATATCACATCCCGTCGACCGTCTACGACGCCAACACGGGGCCCAAGGGTGTCATTGCCGATGCGCAGTCCTTTGAGCGCGCGAAGAAGCGCTCCTTCAGACGCACCCTGACCTCTGCCAGCGCATTCGACTACAACCCGTTCTCCCGCAGCGGCAACAACTCCGCCGGCGCCAGCGAGAAGCACAGCAAGAGCGGCAGCACCAGCAACTTCATACACCGCGGCGCAAGTCCCGGCGACTCGGCGGAAGAGAGTGACGAGGACGAGCGCTTCATGCGCCAGTGGAGAGAGGCGCGCATGCTCGAGCTGCAGAACAAGTCTACTCGCCGAGTCAGCCCCAGCAAGCGACAGTACGGCACCGTCGACACCGTCGATGCCACGGGATACCTTGATGCGATTGAGAAGGTCACACCCGGCACCGTCGTGGTTGTCTGCATCTACGACCCAGAGGTAAGTTATAACTACTTCCAGGCAATATATATATATATATATATACTAACAGTATATATAGTCGACTGAGAGCTCGATAGTAGAAGACTGCCTTACTTCGCTTGCTCGCAAGCAGGCCACCATACACTTCGTCAAGCTGCACTATGAGATCGCCGAGATGGACCACATCACCGCTCCGGCCCTCATCGCCTACAGGAACGGTGAGGTCTTCGCTACCATCATCGACGTCATGAAGCAGCTGCCAGATGACCGTGGCTGCAGCTCTGCCAGCATAGAGGCCTTGCTTATGCAGTACGTCAACCACCCATACATATAACTCTTTTCTTGAGCTTCATACTAACAGATATCACAGACACAAAGTGCTCTAGACCGCTTAATCTCGCCGTCTCTTTTCATTTTCCTTTTCCATTTTTCCTTATATCCACTAATCATTAATCTCCTTTTATCTCTAATGTTATGACCTCCATTCTTCCACTCTCATACCCCGATCATGCATTTTCCTGCATTTTGTTATCCATCCTGTTCTGCTGCTGTTTACTCCCATCATGCCATACCATACCCACCTCTTATACTAGTCTCTCCTCTCTCTCCCCGTCTTCCTCCCGTTTTTCTCTTACTACCTTTGCCTTGGGAGGTGAAATAGCGCCGGTGCACCTAACGTGGTGTGGCTCATGGGGGTGTTCTCTTGCCTTGCCTTGAATTTCATACTCTGGCAGTATAGAAACCTGGTACCAAAAAGTACAGGGAGGTTATCTCGTTTATTTCGTTTATCCCCTCTATCATTTCTATTTAATCTCGAATCATGTCTTCCCCCTGTTTTTTTGATGATAACACACTTTATAGCATAGGCATATCTATCACTGAAGTCCTCTTAACCATTTTTGCATGTTTTCTGGATTAATGTCTCCGTATATATTGGTTATCCCGACTCATGCCTTGAGGTTCAACCCAATCATGGCGAAGCTAGACCGACTCTACCTAGTAACACGTAGGTATAAATAACTGCAAGAATGACTGAAGCGCGTGGTACTAACAATATTTATATTAAAAAAAAAAAAAAAAAGAGCCCCCAGGTTCGAATTATCAGAATGGACAAGTTCTTCATCCAGTATGTAACGCCAATTTTTTTTCTTTTTCTTTTTCTTTAAAGACGCCAATTGATATCTGTCACAGGAGGGTTTGTAGGTCTCGTTACTTTGTTCCATTGTCTCTGCATTAACCCCCATTTTCATCTCTTTTGGTCTCATTTCTTTTGGTTTCATAGTAATGACTTCATTCTCTCTATCCTATCTTAGAAGGCAAGCGTTAATTATAATACTCCCTTTTCTTGTGTGAAGTCCCAGAGCATTCTTATCAGAGCATCGGGAAGGGTATATAAGTCAACGTGGAATTCTCCCTCTAAGGCCCAAGTTAGCTCAGGTAAACCCAACTGCTGCGGAGGGCGGAGAATGTCATGTCCTTACGTTCAATATCATTTTTAGTATACGAATCCGAGGACTTGTTGTCATGCACCATCTGGACAACTTGGAGCAAGTCGTCTTCTCCCAGCTTCTGCAGGCCATCTGCTAGCTTATCCATATCGACCTAGCGAAATGCTGTCAAACATATATTCTCCCTGTCAAGAGAAAGACAACTTACGTTCTTATCCGCGCGTTTCTTCTTCTTGGACTCCTCCTGACCCCGTTTCTTCACTCCATTCTCATCGCCAGGAACAGGGCCAGACTCACGCAGCTGGGCTAGAAGGGGAGGCTTAGGATTTTTGAACGTCTGTCCCCCAAGGTTAGGATTGATTGGAGAGTATTTATGACGTATAAATCGGGTCGTGATACATACAATGACATGCTTCGATTCATACTTGCTCGACTGGAAGTTCAAGTCATGCGTAATGGAATGGTCCTTATCTGGCGCACTCAAGACAATCTGCATATCGAACTCACCCCATCCTTCCTCTTCGATTCTGAACGGAGGGGATTTTATAGCTAGTGTAGTTAGTAGCCAGTTCTGCAGCGTCGGCGTCATAGAAAGATAATAAGTGTGGCGCAACGTACTCTGCGTAGCTCTTTGCTCGAAGCTGGGATGTAGATGGTATGTCACCTTCGGGAATACCGAGGCAGGAACGGGCTCTCCATGGTCGTTCAGGAGATGTATCTCGACGGACCACTGACGAAGCGGAAAGCCTTCGATACCGGAGTTTGGGTCCCTGATTACCATAGACACACCTAGTTAGCCGGTGACTTTAACTGCTTACGCCCTCGAAAGCTATGGACATATCCTTGGCCTGTAGGAAGGGTTTCCGGCGCATTGCCCATGTAGCTACGAAGCAGATGTAGCCATCTTCACCATGCAAGCCATAGCACACGGAGTATCAACAGAAACCATGCGCCGGACAACCCCATATAGCCAGCCAGCCCAGGAAGCCACAGCCATGCAACGAAGGGATCGCGAGGCGCAACGAAAGAGCCTTGCAGGGGATACAAACGATATACGCGACTCCGTAACGATCTTATAGTGCGCTTGACCTATAACCATGCGTAAACAACCGAGTCAGCTCATTTATCATT